CATATACAATCATGTAATCTGTGAACAAGGACACACATTTATTTCTAGCCAATCTGTATCCATTTTATTTACTTTTTTTTGCTTTATTGCATTAGCTAGGGCTTTTAGTGTGATATTAAAAAGTACTGGAGAGAGGAGAAGTCCTTTGCCTTGTTCCTGATTTAATGGGAAAACTTTAGGGTTCTCACAGTTCAGTATGATGTCAGCCATTAAGACCCTGTCTCCAAATATGGCACGTTTTGAGATGCTGGGGATTAGTACTTCATCTAATGAATTTTTGGAGGGCTTACAACTCAGCTTATATCAGTTGGATATTGTATATGAAATTGTGGAGGCTCTGGATAATGTGTCTTTTGAGAGTTTTTTCCTTCTGTTTTTTTTTTTTTTTTTTTTTTTTTTTTTTTTTTTTTTTTTTTTTTTTTTTTTTTTTTTTATTTAGATTTTTACCACCTTTACTGAGATATGATTGACTTGTGATTTTATTCTATTTATTTATTTTTTAATTGTACTTTAGGTCCTGGGGTACATGTGCAGATCATGTAGGATTGTTGCATAGGTACACACATGGCAATGAGGTTTGCTGCTTCCATCCCCACATTACCTACATCTGGCATTTCTCCCCATGTTATCCCTCCCCAACATCCCAACCACCCCACTCTCCCTCCCTTGGCCCCCTTATTTTAGTTTTTGTTGTAGCTTTGTAAGATACATGAATTTTAAATTTTATTGGTGCTTTCATATTCCCCTTTAATTTTCATCTTATTTGTTTAATATCAAAGGATTTTAGAAGGCACAATTTTAAAAGTTCCCTCTAAATTCCACTTACACTTATTTTCAGAGTGCCATTCAACCTATTCCTCATAGACCATTATACAAAGTACCTTATTATGCTCTGGTGTAAAGCTGAGGAATTGAAAACTGTTAAATGCTATTTCTCTTGCTAAAATAAGTTTCTAAAATTAACCAAATATATAATTTAATAACCATTGCTTTTTCTGTTATCTTCTATGATGTTTTCTAGACATGTCTTCAGTCTCCCTACATTCTCTCCTGCATTGTATTCCTACATTCAATGTGGCTACATGAGTACATGCTTAAAACCATTTTTGGCTCCCAATATCTGACCATGGCATTCTGAATCTTCTACAGCCTGATTCCTACCGAATTTTCCAGAATCTTTTACTTCTATTCTTCAGAAAAGTTGTGCTTCAGTAATTCACATTGACTTTGTGCACATCAGAAAAGCCACTCTGTCTCACACCTCTATGCTTTACACATTATTTCTTCACTAAATAGAATGCCATCTGGGTGTGGTGGCTCATGCCTGTAATCCCAGCACTTTGGGAGGCTAAGGAGGGAGGAATGCTTGAGGGCAGGAGTTTGAGGCCAGCCTGGGCAACATGGTGAAACCCCATGTGTGAGTTTGATTGCTCATACAGGTAGGTAAAATACAATGGCTTTTGCTAGAGCTATATTACGTTTCTTGTGTTTCTGTATTTTGGGAGGGTCTCTTGCAATGAACAGGACAATTTACCTTCCAGGAGAGCTCTGGGTAAGCAACCAATGGGTCCTTGCAGTTGAGGTGGACATCCTTGATGGGGGGAGTCTGTCTGAACTGAAAGATAACAATCATAGGGTAAGCGTCTTCCTCAGAAGTGTAATAGTGAATAGCAGGCATGTGACCGCTTTGCCACCTACTTCTCAATGCAAAATTCTGCTTGGGAAGGAAGGCCAATATAATGGTTATGGGTTATTAATTTTTTCAATATTTTAAAGCCTAATTTAGAGAAAATACGTTATTTGGCATGTGTTTTTATTGAATTTTTCTAATAATTTTGTTGTAGGTTGTTTACATGATTACAATAGAAGGAAAGCCACATTTTGTCCATCTCAAAAAACAGTAAGTATTTTATCTTTTCAAATTTTAGTACTTTGGCTTCCTAATTTCTAAAAGTATGTGTAAGTAGAATGAATCATTTTGATTCAAATATATTGATACTTACTCTATACTGGGCATTGAGTAAAATCCTAGGCATGCAAAGGAGAATAAAATATGTTGCCCTGTTAGGGAATTTATAATATAGAAACATACATTCAGAAACATTAATAGAAAAGCAAATAATTTTATTATAATATGGTAATATGACAAATGTGTAAATAGTATTCCTTGGAAATCAGGGAAGGCTTTTAGGGAAGAGGTAAGAGATTACTTGTGTCTTAAGGGAAGAGATAGAGTTAGCTCTGAAAAGAAGAGGGGCAGGACAGGGGAATATATATATATATATATATATATATATATGTTTTTTTTTTCTTTTTTTTGAGATAGAGTCTTGCTTTGTTGCTCAGGCTAGAGTGTAGCGGTGTGATCTTGGCTACTGTAACTTCTACCTCCTGGGTTTCAGTGATGCTCATGCCTCAGCCTTCCAAATAGCTGGGACTACAGGTGTGCACCACCAAGTCCAGATAATTTTTTGTATTTTTAGTAGAGATGGGGTTTTACCATGTTGCCCAGGCTGGGCCCCAACTCCTGGCCCCAAACATTCCTCCCTCAAGGCTTGGCCACCCAATGCACTGGGATTACAAGCATGAGCCACTGCATCCAGCTGACATTCTATTTAGAGAAGAAATAAAGTGTAAAGCATAGAGGTGTGAGGCAGAGTGGCTTTTGTGATGTGCACAGAATCAATGTGAATTACTGAAGCACAAATTTTCTGAAGAATAGAGATAAAAGATTCTGGAAAGTTAGGTAGGAGCCAGGCTGTAGAAGACTCAAATACTGGGAGCCAAAAATGGTTTTAAGCATGTACTTATGTAGCCACATTGAGTCTTGTAGGCTGTTTTTGAGGGGACAAAGTCAGAGTTAAGGTGACCAATTATATGACTATGAAGTTTAGGTGAGTAATGGTGGTGGTTTGAACAATGGCACCAGCGATGTCACTCGAAAAAAGAATCCAGTTGACCTCAATACAGATTTGGTAGAATGATTAGTAAAAAGTGAAAAATTTCAGATAATTTAGTGTTGCTCAAGTAAATGAATAGGCTATAGTATAATTAACTGAGGAATACAAATAAGGGATATATTTGTGTGAGGAAGGGGTGAGTTTGGTTTTTTGTACCTGTGAGATATCCAAGTAAGTTTTTTCCTCTAGATCAGGTAGGTCCAATCTTTTGGCTCCCCTGGGCCACGCTGAAATAATTATCTTGGGCCACATACAAAATACACTAATGATAGCTGGTGAGGAAAAAAAAGAAAAAGAAAAAAAGAAAAAAAAGAAAATATCTCACAATGTTTTAAGAACGTTTAAAAATTTGCATTGGGCATTCAAAGCCATCCTGGGCTGTATGTGGCTAGGAATTTGAATCTATGAAAATATTCAATAGGAATATTGGAAAATAGATTTAGCTATAGGTATATAGATTGAGCAGAAAGCAATAGCTTGGTTCTATTTTTTTTTAATGAGTGCTCTTACATAGGGTGCTTATAAATAGATCATGACTAAAGACTGAACCCTGGAAAACAGCAATGTTTCCTGGGATAGGCTGAACAAAACCAGCAACCAACAGGGAAGATAAAGCGGAAGGGACCAGGAGGTAAGAAGAACGGCAGAAGAATCAAGTGTTACATAAATTGAGTGAGTGGATTGAGTGGTTACAGTTTTCAAAAAAAAAAAAAAAAAAGCTAGAGGTCCAGTGTGGAAATAATTTTTTAAAATGCCTTTTGGATTTGACATTCTAATGTTTATGAATCTTTTCCAGGGAAGTTTTGGGGATACAAAGAATTTAGAAAGTGAAGAAATTGTGTGTAGATAATTCCTTTGATGGAATCTGTTAAGAATTGAAAAAAATGTACATAGGGAGTAGCCACAGTAGAGCATGGGGTCAAGAAAGAGTTCTTTAGGATGATAGTGACTTATTAACATCATTATAAATAGCATTATGATAAAATATAGTAGAGTACAAGAGTTTAAAATTATAGGAGAGAAAAAGTATGTATCCTCTGTATATGGCACAGGATGGTATCTGTAGCACCAGTGTAAGGGCTTGTTCTAAATAAAAGATGTAACCTTCTGGAGATAAGGATAAGAAGCGCAGATGGGAACAAGTGATCTGGGAGTAAGGGAACATGGGAGTTATGTGGGATGATTGACAGGAGTAGTGTCAAGTTTTTGAATAGTTACTTAGGGAAATAAAATTCTGACCAGAGTTATTGAGAAAAACTTGGCATTTAGTAAAGCTTAGCAAATATGAATTTGTAATGAGAAAAAGTAAATCTGTTTTTTATCTGCATTAGTCTGTTTTCACACTGCTGATAAAAATATACTCAAGACTGGGCAATTTACAAAAGAAAGGGGTTTATTGGACTTACAGTTTCACATGGCTGGGGAGGCCTCACAACCATGGCAGAAGGCAAGGAGGAGCAAGTCACATCTTACATGGATGGCAGCAGGCAAAGACGGAGATTGTGCAGAGAAACTCCAATTTTTAAAAACCATCAGATCTCATAAGACCCATTCCCATCACGAGAACAGCATGGGAAAGACTCACCCCCGCAATTCAGTCATCTCTCACAACATCTAGGAATTATGGGAGCTACAAGATGAGATTTGGGTGGGGACACAGAGCCAAACCATATCACTGTTTTAAACTTACAATTTAATTTTGAAACTTGGGTACAAAATATAAAATCAATGAGTGATACAGACAAAGATCGAAAGTTCTATGTTGGAAATTGGGATCTATGCTTTTTCCTTTTCATGTGTCTAGAAATTTGAGTTGCTCATTTATCTGCATTTTAGTATTGTATGTCATTCTAGTTAAAATGTCTCACCGAGTGCCTAATTCAATGTAAGTGCTGGAAATACATGGATGATAGGATAGAACAAGCTGATTAGCATTATTTTAAATTCTTCAGTAAAAAAAAAGCAAAACAATTTTACATGAATGTTTTTTCTGACTTTTCTGTTTCATAACTTGAGCAAGTTTTTATGATTTTTGCCTAGATCACTTTTATCTTCAGCTTCTCTTATTCATTTTTATGACAAAAATGACATCCAACATTCTAAACCTCTGCTAGTTCAGGTAAGAGTTAGGTTACTTTTTTCTTATATATTTGTAATTCTAGATTTCTTTAAAAAGACAAATATTCTATAATTACTAGAATATTATTCTGCATATTCACTGAAATTGATTAACTTGGGCTGGTGCTTATTTCTACCTGGCACAAATTTATTAGGTAATTGCCAATCATATTAAAGTAGAAACATAGCTAAAGTAATAAATAGAAATAATATGTAACAGGTGTTCATTTTAAAAATAAGTTATTCATTAGTTTTTATTTTCTCTGTTTTTTTTTTTCAGATGAATTGCGATTATAATGGATATGTTGCGGGTATTCCAAATTCTCTTGTGACTCTCAGCACATGTTCAGGACTCAGGTTGTAGACTACTTAAAGATACTCAATTTGCCTATATTATATCCTGCTAGCCTACAAATTAATTCTCCATGGATCTGTTCTAATTCTATAATCTCTTTTGTTATTTCAATTCCTTAGGAACTGAACCAAAACTACTAATAAAATAGGATTGATATTCCAGCACTATCTGTTCCTGATGAGAAGCTACTTGATACTGACAGGATCTGCTGCTTTGGCTTTAAGAAAGTTTGAGTGTAGGGAGATTGATTCATCTTCTCATACTTTAGTTCTCTCAAATTCTGTTCTTGTCCAATTTCTTAATTTACTAGACTAATTGGCAATTGTGGAATGTATGAGACTAACAGACACTGGCTTTGCAGTCAGTCAGTATTAGGCATATAGTACCTTCAGTTCAGCCCTCACAAACAAATGATTTAGGTATCAAGTGTCAGAGGATAGTTAAGTGTATTAAAGAGAAGCAATCAAAGACTAAAGAAGAGAGTGCCTAGAGATTCTACAGGCTGGTTAGAGAATCTGTACAACAGAAAGGGGTTTCAACTCGTTTAAGTGCACAGATCCATGTCACTATCATGCTTTCTTGAAGATAATCACAGATTTGTAATGTAAGGCAATACATATCCTGTGATATAGTGGTCTAGTTCTGGTATAAGCAAGACCCCAGAAGATAAAGATATAAAAGTAAAAAACTAAGGTCACTTTAAATCTTAAAAACTGGCTCAAATTTCTCATTATAATATTACGGTTTTGGTAGAATCATTCCAGCTTTGTTTTGATTGTTTAAACACTCAGGGGAACAATACAGTTGAGAAACATCTCATATGGAATTGAACCAATGGAGGCTGTATCAGGATTTATACACAAGATTTATGAAGAAAAGTATGATAATACTAATATTCTTTCAGAAGAAAATGACACTTATTCTTGGTTTAGTTCAGAGTATCAAGTCAGAAAAAGTCCAGAAGTAAGTATTGACTCTTTTATTTTAATTTAGTATAATTTTGTAAAATAAAAAATAGTTTGAGTCAAGATTTGGTGACTGGCAAATCTTAAAATTATTTTGCTTTTTCATGAGGGCCCTGCATGACTTTTAAAGTGGCAAGAGAATAAACCTGTGTTTGTCATTATACTTGCCATTAGATGAAAGCTTAGCAAAAACTTAATCTTAGAAATATGAAGATATGAATATATTATAAAAGAAACAAACATTAATTTTCATATGTAAGCATTTAGATAATTAACATAAAATATCATCTCTTTTTTTCAATTACTCAGATAATTTAGGGGAGAATATGATACAACTTAGATTTCTCAGTTGAGTTTTTGTTTCATAACAATTAAAAAATGGATGAGTGACTTACATAAGGTACATGTAAAGCAAAGTGATGAACATTTTTCTCGACAAAGACCCATAGACTACCTTAAATAAGACATCTGTCTTCAGCAAATTGCCATTAGTTGTAAATTTTTGTAATATTTTTCTAAACTATATTGTTTGCCAAAAGTAACTTCCTAGTAATTGGTAGCAGAAAATCTGCTCACATGAAAGATTAGTATGAAAATTATCAAAAGGCTAAGAAAATAAAGCTTTATGTTATAAACCAAAAATTTCCAGTTTCAATTATTATACAAATAAGAGATACCTGAATTCTTATATATCTTGAGACGTCTAATAGAATAGTCTTGCTACCCAGGGCACTTTGAACTGGAATCTTCTGAACAGTATTTAAATTTTATACTTGAAAACAGTCTCATTATATAATCAGGAGCAACATATCTTTCAGTTTATCTCTCAATATAATTTCAGTAGAAGGTAAATTTTTGTAAATTTCTCATGACTCATGTTGTGTGTTTTTCAGAAAACGGACTTTATTAAGTTATTCCCTCGATATCTTGAAATGTATATTGTTGTGGACAAAAATCTGGTAAGCCTTCTTTTATAAATTGTTATTTTAGAATTAACATTTCTCTTTAACTTGATTTTAGTGATGCAATGAAAATTATCAACCATTTTATTTGCATTTGCAATGAACACATTCTTACAAATTATGAATAAAACGAGTTTTTGTTAATTTATTTTGTATATAGCATCTACTCACTTTTGCAAAGTGAAACATCTTAATTTCAAAAGCTTGTTGACTATTGTTATTGTTTCAAAAAAACTACTGCATAGATGAAAGCATAGATTACAACTCCCTTAAGCCCTTAACCCTCATATATAATAACAATATCTAACTGCCTCAGTCTAATAGGAAGGATGGTCTGCAAAACAAATATGCCACTTCTTTAAAGCAAAAGGAGAAAACAAATTATCACCTGTTTTCTTCTCAGTTCTAGGTAAACGAAACAAAAAGAAAAGCAAATGAACAAACTACTCATATTGAGAATTCATGACTATACTTTAGATCTCTTATGGATTTAGGCTCTGAATATTTATTACATATGTGGTTAGGATTCTAATCCATGAGGCTACATTTGTCCCAGGTTGGTAAAAGCTGAGGGTGCATGATGGAAGCAAATAGTATTTATCTCTGGAGGAATGCCACTTCAAGCAGAATACCTCTGGATTCCTACAGATTAATATCAGCCATACATATATGGGCTCACAATCCATAAGGAATTAAAACACCATGAACAATGGCTAGCAAAACAAAAAATATATGTATGATGGCTAATATTAAATTTTTAAAAATATAGTTTATAATTGGCAGAACAATAGGGTAACTAAATTAACAATAATTGTTGAATAATGTATTCATATGTATATTATATTTTATTGCACTTTACATCCTGGGGTACATGTGCAGAACATGCAGGATTGTTGCATAGCTGCATACATGGCAATGTGGTTTGCTGCTTCCATTCCCGTCACCTATATCTGGCATTTCTCCCCATGTTATCCCTCCCCAACCTCCCCACCCACTGCTGTCCCTCCCCTAGTCCCCCACAACAGACCCCAGTGCGTGATGCTCCCCTCCCTGTGTCCATGGGTTTTCATTGTTCAACACCACCTATGAGTGAGAACATGCGCTCTGTTGCCTAGGCTGGAGTGCAGTGACATGATCTCAGCTCACTACAAACTCTGCTTCCCACGTTCAAGTGATTCTCTTGCCTCAGCCTCCTGAGTATCTGGGATTACAGGTGCATACCACCACGCCCAGCTAATTCTTGTATTTTTAGTAGAGACGGGAGTCTCACCATGTTGGCCAGGCTAGTCTTGAACTCCTGACCACAGGTGATCTACCTGCCTCAGCCTCCCAAAGTGCTGGGATTACAGGCATGAGCCACCGTGCCCAGCTTCAAGCAATTTTTACATACTCCATGTTAAGTTGAGATGTTGTTTCTTCTATCTTTCTTTCCAGGAGTGTCAGGAGCTATAGTCAAGTTTCAAGAAGGGAGAATGCTGTTGGGACTGTGCAGGCGATGGCCTAAAAGCAATAAAAGCCTCATTAAAAGCTGATTTCTTTTTATTATTATCCTGTACTAACAATTCTAAGTAATATCAGTGTTAAAATAAATCACTGGGCAGACTCCTCCCATGCCTGCCACTAGTTGATATGGCACTGTGAAAGCACTCCAATATCTTCCTTAAGAAGGATACATCATCATTTAAATAATGAAAACAATAAATATTCACTATAGGATGTCTAGAAAAATTTGAAAAAATATTTTTAGGAGAGAATTCACATTAACTCCACCATTTATTGACAATCATAGCCTTTTATGTCATTATTACTTTTTCGGTTATTAAAAGTAATTCTGCCATAAATATCCTTGTTACATATATTTCTTTTGGCATTTGCGGTTTTTTGGAAGTACATTCTTGCCCCACATGCGTTAGGTGTTTGTCCTAATGCTCTCCCTCCCCTCGCTCACCACCCCCCCGCAGGCTCTGCTGTGTGATGCTCCCTTCCTGTGTCCTTGTGTTTTCATTATTCAACTCCCACCTATAAGCAAGAACATGCAGTATTTGATTTTCTGTTCCTGTGTTAGTTTGCTGAGAATGATGGCTTCCAGCTTCATCAATTTCCCTGCAAATGACAGGAACTCATTCTTTTTTATGGCTACACAGTATTCCATGGTGTATATGTGCCACATTTTCTTTATCAACAGTCTAACATTGATGGGAACTTGGGTTGGTTCCAAGTCTTTGCTATTTTAAGTAGTGTTGCAGTAAACGTACATGTGCATGTGTCTTTATAGTAGAATGATTTATAATCCTTTGTATATATATTAGTAATAGGATTGCTGGGTCAAATGGTGTTTCGGGTTCTAGATCCTTGAGGAATCGCCACAGTCTTCCACAATGGTTGAATTAATTTACACTCCAAACAACAGTGTAAAAGCATTCCTATTTCTCCACATTCTATCTAGCATCTGTTATTTCCTGACTTTTTAGTAATAGCCATTCTAACTGGTGTGAGATGATATCTCATTGTGGTTTTGATTTGCGTTTCTCTAATGACCAGTGATGATGAGCTTCTTTTCATGTTTGTTGGCTGCATAAATGTCTTCTTTTGAGAAGTGTCTGTTCATATACTTTGCCCACTTTTTGAGGGGTTTATTTGTTTTTTCCTTGCAAATTTGTTCAAGTTCCTTATAGATTCTGGATATTAGACCTATGTCAGATGGATAGATTGCAAAATTTTTCTCCCTTTCTGTAGGCTGCCTGTTCACTCTTTTTTGATGTAAGCATTTATAGCTATAAACTTACCTCTTAGTACTGCTTTTGTTATACCCCATAGATTTTGGTATGTTATATTCCCATTATCATTTGTTTCAAGAAAATTTTTAATTTTCTTCTTTATTTCTTTTTTGACACATTGGTCATTCAGAAGCATGTTGTTTAATTTCCATGTATTTGTATAGTTTCCAAAATTCTTCTGTTATTTCTAGTTTTATTCCATTGCAGTCAGAGAAGATGCTTGATTTTATTTCAATTGTTTAAGTGTTTTAAGACCTGTTTTGTGACCTAACATTTGGTCTATCCTTAAGAATGATTCATGGGCTGAGGAGAAGAATGTTGATTCTGCAGCTCTTGGATAAAATGTTCTATAAATATCTATTAGATTCATTTGGTCTATAGTGCAGATTAAATCTGATTTTTTTTTGTTGTCTTTCTGTCTGAAAGATATTTCCAATGCTGAAAATAGGGTGTTGAAGTCTCCAGCTAATATTGTGCTAGGTCCCGTTTGTCTCTTTAGCTATAATAATTGCTTTATATCTCTGTCAGCACTTTGTCAAAAAAAAAAAAAAAAAAAAAGAGAGAATTTGCTTTGTACATCTGGGTACTCCAAGGCTGGGTACATATAAGTTTAAAATTGTTATATCCTCTTGCTGAATTGACCCCTTATTTATTATATAGTAACCTTCTTTGTCTCTTCTTATAGTTTCTGTCTTGAAACCTATTTTTCTGATATAAGTATAGCAACTCATGCTTTGTTTTGGTTTTCATTGGCATGAATATCTTTTCCATCTTTTAATTTTTATTCTTTGTATGTCTTTATAGTTGAAGTATGTTTCTTGTAAACAACATATCAATGGATTTAGTATTTTTAATACATTCAGCCTGTCTATATCTTTTGATTGGAGAGTTTAGTCTATCTGCATGCAATGTTTTTATTGATAAGTAAGAAGTACTTACTGTTGAGTTTATATAACAAAATAAAACATTTTATTATTTGTTTTCTGGTTGTTTTGTGGCCTTTTCTTCCTTTCTTTTATTCCTGTCTTCCTCTATTGAAGTTGATTTTTCTTTGGTAAGGATTTAGTTTCTCATTTTTTGTGTATGCATTGTATGTTTTTTGGTTTGAAGTTACCATGAGGCTTGCAGATACTCTCTTATAACCCATTGTTTTAACCTGATGATAATGTAACACTTTTGCATAAAAAAACAAAGAAGCAAAAAGAAAACTAATAAAGCTCTACACCTGAATTTCATCCTCCCACTTTCTTTTTGTTGTTTCCATTTATATCTTATTGTACTGAGTATGTCTTGACAAGTTTTTGTAGTTGTTATTTTTGATTGGTTCATTGTTTAGTCTATTTAGTATAAGAATAGTTTATACGCCAGAGTAGTTTATAGTGCCGGTTATAATGCTATAATATTCTGTGTACTTACTATTACCAGTAAGTTTTATATCTTCAGGTGATTATTGCTCATTAATGTCTTTTTCTTTCTGACTGAAGAACTCCCTTTAGCATTTCATGTCACAGGACATGTCTGGTATTGATGAAATCCCTCAGCTTTTGTTTGTCTGGGAAAGTCAGTCACTATTTCTCCTTCATCTTTGAAGGATATTTTCACTAGATATACTATTCTAGGGTAAAAGAATTTTTTTTCCCTTCAGCACTTTAAATATGTCATGCCATTCTCTCCTTGCCTATAAGGTTTCTACTGAAAAGTCAATAAATTGGAGCTCCATTATATGTTATTTGATTCTTTTTTCTTTCTGCTTTTAGGGTCCTGCCTCTGTCTCTCACCCTTGGTAGTCTGATTATGAAATGCCTTGAGGTAGTCTTTTTTGAGTGAAACCTGGTTGGTGTTCTATAATCTTCTTGTAGTTGGATATTGATGTCTTTCTCTAGGTTTGGAGTTATTTGTTATTATCTCTTTGAATAAATTTTCTGTCCCATCCCTTTCTCTATCTCTTAAGGACAATAACTGTTAGAGTTACCCTTTTGAGGCTGTTTTCTAGATCCTGTAAGTGGGCTTCATTGTTTTCTTATTTTTTTCCCATCTCCTCTGTGTATTTTTAAATAGCCTGTCTTCAAGCTAATTCTTTCTCCTACTTGGTCCGCTCTGCTACTAAGGGACTCTGATGCATTCTCCAGTATGCCAATTGCATTTTTTATCATCAGAATTTCTTCTTGATCCTTTTAAATTATTTCAACTTCTTTGTTAAATTTATCTGATAGAATTCTG